GAGAATCCACTCCCACCCTTAATAGGTCACATAGGTCTAGGGTTTGTTGTTTTTTTTGTGAGCCACAACGTCTTGCTGTCAGTCAATGGCTTCGCTCGTGTCAAGACTGGGATCTCGTGGTCCAGGACGGGCATGGCAATTTTGGCTGACTGATCTGATTGGGCAGGAATACAGTCTCAACCCATTGGTGGATTCTCCATCTCCGTGCTGAGAAAAGGCATTTAGGTAAGACAATGCCCCATCTCTGTATATGTAAAGGACAAAATAATAAATAAAGATAGTTATTGTAATTATTTTTCAAATATCATCCATGGTGGATGGATAAACTGCAATAACCAAATTCACATTTGCTTTTAAGTTATTTTTTTAAAAAAAGATAAAAGAAGGCAGCTTCCTTTATTTAGCAATAAACCGCTGTTTGAAATCATGGCATATGATCAGCTTTCTAATTATAATTGTGGCATTAGGGTGACATGTCAATAGGATTATCGTTGTTTGGACTTTCTGATTATTCCTGTTTACCACAATGCAAGAAAAAAAAACTGCTTAAAATGAAAAAGAACAAATCAGGAATTGGCCAAGAATGCCATTATTGTTTAACTTCTTTGCAAGATTGACTCTGGCCTGACAAACAGACAACAGACAAAGTTTACAGCAAGCCATGTGTAAATGTAGGCACTGTTTGCATCTGTCATAGTTTTAAAAAAGAGCCTGAGTAAATTGTGGGAAAAGTTAATGGAATACTATCATAATTTCAATGAGGAGGACAGGAAAAAAGAAGCTTCTATTCCTGATTTTTGCCTACTTTGTAAAATGAAATTGAGGCTCCATATCATATATGCTTATTTATAAGGATTATACATTTATAAGGAGTTAAAATATAAAATTATTTATAAGGAGTTCTAACTTGTCCGGCTTAAGGTTGACTCAGCCTTCTATCTTTCCGAGGTCGGTAAAATTAGGACCCAGATTGTTGGGGGCAATAGGCTGAGTCTATAAAACTGCTTAGAGAGGGCTGTGAAGCGCTATGAAGCAGTATATAAGTCTAATTGCTATTGCTATAGCAGGATATTCTTTACAAAAACATTCAAAGATTCTTTGCATAGTAGGAAAGAAATTGTGTGTAAGCAAAGAGTACTTAATGTGTTATTTGTGATCAACTACTGAAATAAAAAGGTTGTTGCATTACACTTAGGCATAAGAAGAGTATCTTGAAACAAAAACTGTCTGGGATTTGGAAAAAATAATCCTAGTGCTCACATCTTTTGGGATTTCAGAGTGGCCTCAAGAATCTGTAAAACCTTAACATAAAGATGTTTTGCTACTAGATATTTCAAACTAGAAAAATCCTCACTATGCAAAAAGAGCTCAGTCTTTGATGGAATTAATTTTTAATTTAAATTAAATAATGAATGTTAAGCAAAGGCAAAATCAAGAGCATGTAAGGTGCATATTGTTGAGATCTATATAATGGCAATCATGGTAAGTGTAAGTCAATCTCAAAGCAGCCATTTTACTAGTAGGCAAGCTGTTGAGGCTGTTCCCCACATGCTCCTCTAAGATGCTGTATAATCGCCTGGCTTTCCATTTGTCTTTTTCTGGACAGATGCATACTTCACAATAAAGCATTGGCTACTTAGATTTCTAGGTTTCTAAAAAGTGCCTGTGCAGCACCGTTCTTGACATTCTTGAAAATAATTACATTAGGTTGGAGGATTTTTTAAGTTTTATGAAACATTTTTTAAAAAAAAATTGAGAAAGGAGCCTGAGGGGTGCCAGAGAAATTACTCTCAGATAATTTATTTCCTCTTTCATACAATACTAGCTAACTCATGACCCGTTGGATCATAAATTCAGAGATATTTCCTTACCTAAACAGAGAAACAAAATGACCAAATGGGCAGAAAAAACAACAACAGTGGGAACGAGAGCAACTTCCAACTTCTTGCCAGCTTCCCCACTGATTTCCCTGTAGGAAACTGGTAGGGAGAGTTGGAAATGACAATCATGTGACCACAACAGCACTGAAGTGGCCACATCTTTGCCAAATTTCAATCCCACACAAATCATCGGTCCCAGAGTTTGGACGTATTCTGTAAATTAGCCCACTTGAGGTATGTTGATTGAAAATCATTGCCCTCTGATGTACTCTCTCACCCATTTGAAGGCTACAAACAAATATACACAAGAGTTTTAGTAGTATAAAGGTAGACTCTGATTATCAAATGGTATTTGCCATTCCTCTGCATTGGGGAACAGAGTTTACTGAAGTTTCATATCAAAGTTCCAGGTAGTTAAAATCTGTTAATTGTAAGAATTTGAAATAGGAAAGCCCTTATTTTATTATTCAACCAAGTAGAGTTTACAAAATGAAATATTGTGATAACTGATCAGCTCTTCAATTTCACTCTACAATAACTGGCACTTTAAAAAGTCTCCATCTCATTCAAGCATATCGTTGAGTATCTCATTTGTTTAAGGTAAACCAGCACCTTAGCTTTTATATCCTGAGCCTGGCAGGTGACATGGCAGTTGGAAGACGGGTGGTTTATTTTTGTACCTCATTTATTGTGCTTTAGCCTTCACCATTGCTAACACTGAAGTCATAAAGACTTGAATGGAGCCATTAAATGAATTTATTAAAAAAATATTGAATTAAAAATTGGGTGATTTCGTGTTGAACTGGAAATAAAACTTTTGTAAGGGAATTACAACAAAAATCCAGTTTAAAGCAGATTTCACATTCAAGATAATACAAGTTATTTCTTAAAGTTGGATTTATTCATTGTTTCTGATAATCGTAAGGTATTGGTTGTTCATAGTGTTAACTCTTAAACTCATTCAAGTCAACAATTTGCTCCTTGAAAATATTAGCTCATTACCTGTTAAAGGTACATAGCTTAATTATATTTAAACTAATAGATTTATATAGCAAAAATACTGTAAATACAAATTGCGTATCTTATCTAGACTCGATAGAAGCTGTGTAACTTTGCTGGAAAAAGTGAAAAAGGTCAGAAAAAGTACTTGAGCTATGCTGTATTTTGCCAATAAAATTATAACAAATAGAATTCTGAAATTTGGAGGGTATATACTTTGCTATGTGCGTTAAAGAAAGATAATGAAATTATATCTTGCAAACATGTAAATCACCACGTGTTTCCAAAATTGGAAGTAGAAAATCTCTTGATACCAGTAGGTAGGAAACAAGGAGCTTGTATATTGTTTATAGACTTCTGGTTGACCTAAGAAACTCCTTCAGGAAATTAAGTCTTAAGTAGAAATAGTTTATTTTAATGTCTCCTTAGACTAGAGATAAGCTAGTGCAGTGGTTCTCAACCTGTGGGTCGGGACCCCATTTGGGGTCGAACGACCATTTCACGGGGGTCGCCAAACAAGGCTGTCCGCCATTTTTTCCCCCTTTTCTTTGGCCACGCCCCTGGCACCCGGTGATGTATAAGTGGTTGGGGGTCACCACAACATGGGGAACTGTATTATGGGGTCGCGGCATTAGAAAGGTTGAGAACCACTGAGCTAGTGGGATATGTGACTTGGTGTATCAATTAGTATTAGCTATGATTACAGGATTTGTATCTTGCAAGATATATTCACTTGCTAGCAATTGAAAACTGATCAACCAACCAAGTCTGATAAGTCAAGTGCAGAGGTGTCATCCCAGTCTAAGGCCAGCATAGATATTTTCCTCTTCCTGTTTCTGATTTCTTGCTTATATGAATCTTAAGAAATAGGAAAAAGCTGGTGCACTTGCATGAAATATATGTATAATGGAAATTGTGACTTTTCATTTAAGGCAGAAAGGTATCCACATCCTATAGGAAATATCTATGAAGACCATTTAGCTGATGATGATGCATATAAAGCAGGGGGTCTTAAAACTTTGCCTTTTTATGACTTGTGGACTTCAACTCCCAGAATTCCTCAGCCAGGCACATAATGCCCTTGCTTAGATACAGGTAGTCCTTGACTTACAACCATTTACTTAGGAATCATTCAATATGGTGATGGACCTGGACAAAAACCTACTTATGACTCGACCTCAGAGTTACAACTACTGCATGCACCTCTCTGTAGTCACATGATCACATTTTGTGTGCTAATAATTAGCTCACATTTATGACCAGCTGCATTGTCTCATGGTCATATGACTGTGATTTATTAGTTTTTGCTGGTTTCTGGTGTTTTTTCCAGATTTTTGACAAAAAATGTGTGTTTAAAAAAATGGACTTGCTTAAACAATTATGATTTGCTTTTCATCCTTCATAAAAATGGTTGTAAAATCGAGTCTGGTCACATGGTGCCTTGCCTTATGATTGAAATTCGGGGGTCCATTCTGGTCATAAGTCAAGGACTTACTGAAGAAGCAGGTAACACAATTGAATCATTATTATTACCCGAGGTTATCAAAAGGTGAAAAGCATAATATTTTTAACATATAGGTGTATCTGGGGGAAATTACACCAATTATCATATAATAGCTATCCAGCAAAATTACTGCAGACACTTTAATTCCTTAAATCTAGGGCTACAGACCATCAAAGATACTTTAATCTGTTTTAAAATAGTGATATACATAGATTACCGCATTCTTGTAAGTCAGACAATTTTTTGTGGACAAAGGCTGCATTATACATGTTCATAAAACTGGAGAGGGAGTTTTGAGGTTTTTCCCCTTGTTTTTTAAGCTGTGACATCTTATTTTAGGAGATATATTACAGCTTTCATATATTTTCCAATCACAGTAACAAGATACCATGCTATTACTTTTTAGTGGTCAAAATGAGATGGGAGCTATTACCTATTCCACCTTGTTTCTTAGTCATTATTATAAGAAGTAAAAATATGAAATTCTCATTGCTTAATTTCATATCATACTCATTTAGATTTGGGAAATGTTATGAAATATTTTTAGAGCAGCAAAGGTAGCATGTGAATTGAATCCATAAACATCAGATATCAAACTAATTTTTTCCCCCCACCAGGCAATATGCCAGCTCCTGAACAGATCCCTTTTGAAGATGGGCTGCAACCGAACACCCAAGAATCTTCTGCAAATCCTGCCATGGAAACAGAGGCTACTGCCACTACTATTCTAGCTTCTGTAAAAGAACAGGTATTTTTTTAAAAAAAATATTGTAGATAGATGTAATTAATAAGTAGATATATTGGGATTTTGTGTTTGAGTAGTTTTGAACTTTGTTGACTTGCCACATAGTTGGGATAAAATATTTGCTTAGTTTCACTGGTTTTTTATCTCTTTTTCAACTTTTATGAAGTCATCATCATATTCTGTAATGGATAATAACAAACTTTGATATTTTCTGGGTAATGTTATCTTGAATTTTGGGTGTACGCAAAATGGAAAGTGTGTTTTCTTTGACTTAATTAAACAAGCTCCCAAAAAAGGTGCAGAACTATAGGTAGTCCTTACCAACTATTCATTTAATGACAATTCAAAATTACAACAATACTGTAAAAACTGACTTGCAACTGGTCCTTGCATTTATGACCATCGCAGCATCCCCTTAGCCACATATCAACATTCAGGCACATGGCAACCAGCATGTATTGACAGTGGATGCAGCATCCTAAGATCATGTGATCACCATTTACGACCTCCACAGCCAGCTTCCGACAAGCAAAGTTAATGGGAAGCCAGATTTATTTAATGACTGTGTGATTCACTGAAGTGATTTCGCTAAACAATTGTGGCAAAACTGGTTGTAAAGCTGGGCATGACTCATTTAAAAATGGCCTTGCTTAGCAGCAGAAATTCTGATCCCAGTGGTGGTTGTAAGCTGAGGACTGTGTATATAGATTTATTTTAAGAGCATCAAATATATTTGTAGACTTTAGTGTTTCTGCCAGCATCATATTTGATTTACAGTACTATTTGGGGTATTAGTTAACACTATTAAAATGAATTGATGCATTTATCTGTGAAGGAAAAGGAATCCATCATGTAAAAAACTTCTGTAGAGTTAGAAGGGTAGCCTATTTTAGATTAAATTCAGTTGGATATAATTGATGTGTTGTAATTTTTTTAGGAGAGAAAATATAAAGTTGGAGTTCATCACATCTCTTGGAGAACTAAAAAAAGTAATTTATTTTAAGATCAAGGAAGCTGTATAATATTCATTAAAGAGAGATCTGTGCCTCTTGTTCTTTTTTCTTAGCCACTTGACATCAAGGTACCTATTCTTGTTTTACCCATTTTATTTGTTCTCACCTAATCTTCCTATATGATGGTTGTTGCTATATTTTCAGAAGGTACCACCAACTTCCTTCCAGTTGCAAAAGAGGCTCTTCATGGTAGTTTCTCAGAGAAGAAATAGTAGCATTCTTTATCTGTTTGACTTAAAATGATTCCTGTGTTCAAAAAGTTAATTGAGCAAATTGTGCTATGGCTCATACTCTCCATTTCTGGAAGCTTACAAGAAGTGCAATGTTTCCTAAAATGGGATGGATAGACACATAAATAATTAGAAAGTCTTCTAGCATACCAAGTTGTTTTTTTCCTACACGAGAATTTTTGCCTCAATTTTTACAACTTCAGAAAACGATGGGTACAAGCCTTTTTCATATTCAGACACACCCCAAATATCCAATAAAACATCAACCTAGATATGATTAGATCTATTGTTCATTCTGTTCTAAATAGACTAGAAAAATTTCATAATTCATACTTCTGTCAGGAAAACATTCTCCAACTTCTCCACCCAAGTTATAATTTATTTTGGTCCAATTTATTTAGAAATTCTTCACTAGAATGGGTTATATTCTTATATGGAACAGAATTACTTTATTAATCAATTTTTATTACGGTCACAGACCAGCATTAGAATTACTTTATTTCTTATTAATATGCTATCTGAACCTAGCCAAAAAATCCAACACAGTAATTTCGAATCTTGATTATTGAGTGTTATATATAAATGTTGTCAGTAAATTAATAGAGGTGCTTTACATTCTGAACTACGAGAATGATTTTAAAGGTTCCCCGTCTTTGCGACTATTAAGCAAGGCTATCTTGTTTGCAAATAATTATCTTATGAATCAGAGAAATGGCATAAAACTTGAAGAGGTTATTTTTGTTTTGTTTGTGTTTTAGTGTAAATAAAAGAATACTAAACTACCTAGTAATCTTGTGCGAAACATAATAGTTTAAACTCTGGAGCATTCTTATTTTTCCTTTGAATGAGTCAGTTTGAACAAGGCATGTTTCCATAAGTTATCATCTGGAACAGGAGATAGTGGATGATGGTTGATGTGGTATAAAGTGACCCTTGCAATGCTCACTGCCCAGTACATAGGGTAGAGAAAAATGAGAAAATCCCAGAGGTAAATTATGCTCTCTTCAGTATAATGAAGCTATTGCTTCCAATTAAAAATTGCTATCTCGTTTTCTGAAAAGATTGCAGGAAGTCAAAAGTATAATATAACATTGAATTAAATCTATTGCTGGTGTTCTGCATCTTATTGCATGTGGAAATTCATTTGCCCTTCCAAAAACATTTCACATTTTAATTTGACAAATACACATGACATTATTGCAATTTTCTGAACTGGAAGTGTATCTAGTTATGAATGTGGAAAAAGCTCCTGAGTGCATCCTGAACTAGATTAAAATGCAATTGGGAAATATTGGGGGGGGAAATGTAATAAAAATACAATAAAATGTAAATAACACATTTGAAAACTAATAATAAATTTAGTCACCAGCCTCCATAAAACTCTTGGCTCGTGATGCACGTGGAATCCTGCACAAGCTCCACACCACCTCAATTTAACTACAATAGGGAGGGTTGCCTGGTGCTATTATGGTGCAGACTGAATAGGAGCGCCAGGTGACAGGAGTTCCCTCTTAGTCTGCACTGCAACCACAGCATGTAACCTTGATGCTGCAAAGAAGCTGAGTAAGAGAGGTTGTGCCTTTTCTTTGGGTGGCATTGCTGACCTGCTCCCAACTCCAGAGCCTCCAGTACATGAATGACTGCCTCCTTCCAAAATAGGTTGTATTAATTTCTCTTTGCCCATCAAAAAAGGTTTTTCTTTTTCTTTTTCTTCTGTTTACAAAACAGGTTGAATTAATATCTGTGGGGTTATTTGGCTTCACAAGGTATATGATTATTGTTAAGTTTATAAGAATAGTTTTTAAATTAATAATCTTTAAATGTTCAGAATGCATCCAGAGAAGAAGGAAAGAATGGAGAAACATGATAAGGGCATGCTCTAAATGTTTTTCTTTCTTTTTTTCTAAATTCTGCTTTCATTACAATGAAAGAAAGAAAAGGAAAAAGAAAGAAATTATTGCAAAGAAAGAAAAGGAAAAAGAAATTATTGCAAAATATTGATTGCAGTTATCAGTGATTGATGGATCATAATCTGTAAGGATGTGTGGGTGGAGCCAGTTGGTTGGGGAGTTCTAATTCAGCCAAGTGACCTTGGACTAGTCAAATATTCACTTCTAAGAAGAAAGAATTGTGGAGTCACTAATGAAAAATGTTGCCAAGAAAAGTAGAGGGCAGGGACCAGGATCCAAAATGAATTGACATACTGTTTATTCTTTCTACTTTCTTTATGTTAACTAAGAAATAGATATTGTAACATCACTATTACTTGCATTTGAAATTTACTCATATTCTCATATTGTGGCACACAAATTTGTACTTGGTTTGGAAGCTGTGGAAACTAGAATGTCAGAAATTAGAGGGAACATTACAGGAAGGTGCAAATGGGAGGAGATAGTTTGTGTGATAATATGGTATTTTTACGTATTGGTTGTATCTAGTTCCTACCAGATTTTAATATATTGATGCATTAATAAAATATATATATATGCAGTTTGCAGGGATCATTATAGTTTAGTCACAACCAAGTGACTCCAGGCAGCATACAATAAAACTAGTGGCCCCTGTTTCTATTTGAGTTTGACACTATTGGTGTAGAGCAGGCATGTCAAACTGCGGGCCGGATGCATCACGCCGAAACCACGCCCATCCCATTGCTTGCAATGGGGAAAAAGTCCCGATACGTTGCACGATGTCATGTGACGTCGCGAGTTTGACATGCCTGGTATAGAGCATCGGTTTTTCATGGCAAACTGTATTCTGTGTACGGTATTCACAAGATGTGAGTTGTTATAGCGCCAATGGTGTTATTAACCTCAAGTGGTCTGGCAGAAACCCGTTCCCATAGCCTTAAGAGTCTCCAAACTTCTATCAGGAATAAATAACAGAGCATGCACAGAATGGCTTGACGCAAACATTCCCCACCCTATTCTGGCTTGACAATTTCCCCATAAATCATGTTCATTGAAATTATCGCTAAGTAGTGGTTGCCAATACCACTTCAATTTCTCAGGTTGCATCGGGTTATTTTTGTGATGAATGCCAAAAGGAAGAATGTTCTCTGGCTTACATCCTCTTCATTTTTGTTTCAGCTAAAATTGTCTCAAAAGAATTTACACAACCTCCTCAGATTGGTTCCAAGAGAAAAGGCAGATTCTTTTATCTAAGTCAGTGGTGGTGAACCTATGGCACGGGTGCCAGAAGTGGCACTCGGAGCCCTCTCTGTGGGCACACATGCTGTTGCCCCAGCCTTGCCTCCGCCCGTGACCCCCTCCTCATCAGCAGCCTCCCTGGAGGAGAGTCGCCTCTGACGTGGCCCATGCGGAGCAGCACAACCAAGGATATGGCAGGCAGGCAGCATAGACAAGCCTGCCCTCACACCCCAATGCACACAGTTGATGCTGCGGGGCATGTGCAAAAGGCATGGCTGCCATGGCGCTGCTGGGCTGCCTGGGCGATCTGCGGCGAGCCCTGGAGGGGGTGAGTGATCCTATGGGCAGGCAGGGTGGGGCAGAACAGGGGCAGGGGGTGGAGCAGGGGCGGGGCCAGTTTTGGGGCACTCAGTCTCTAAAAGGTTCGCCATCACTGATCTAGGTAAATGATTGAAAGGAAACAAGATATAATCTTGGTTTTCTAGCCTTCCTTCTCTTCCAGTCACATAAGTAGGAGACAGCTTGTCCTTTCTGGGGATGTCTGAAACATAATTTGAATGGGGGAAAGTACCCCTTCAACCGCCATAAACTTACAGCTTCCCTTGAAATGG